TGAATATAAAGGACACAACGCTTGTTATCCTTTTGCCTCGGCTGTAAACCGTTGCCGTAGACTCGAGCATACAATTCCCGTTCAGGGATCGCCACCCCTCGATCCTGCTTGCCTTCATCAACGCAAAGCTCAAGATGCTTGCACACATTGTGTCATTCCGCTCCAGAATATACCATTCATTGTATCTTTTTGTTCCGCGCCTATGATGCTAAATGACGCAGTCAAGCGAGTTGCCTTCTCAACATTGAAGTATCAAAACAATTGATGCTTCTCAACCCGCTCACCAATTGTCGAAGCAATGCATTAAAAGAAGTTGCTTTCAAGTACCATGCACCATGTGTCATATCTTTTAATCATCTTACATGTATCATTTGAAGCATCATCGACAAGCACTTCTGGCAAAGTAGGAACTGATGTATCCAGGAATTTTGTGTTTGCGTGGATTTCAATGAACATATCAAAGAATCGCTTTGCTCAATATTGGTGAGGGCCGTTCATTAAAGAGCGTCTTTTTCGTTATACGGTTCTAGCCGCTAAAATGAAGGGGCAGCTGTGATTGAACACCCAAGAGCCAAGGTGCCACTTCCCCAAAAAATAAACATGTGCTAATTGAATGACATTCAATGTAAAAAACCACATTTTTATGTACACAGAGATGTGTTTGATGCTATTTCTTTACAGAGATATCGCCCGCCACTTTAGGCAAATCACAACCACTAGGAAAAAAGACCAAATAACATGTGTTCAAAGGTGTACAAAATTTTACGGGTTTGTGTTATTATCGTGTTTTTAGCATGAAGAGCACTGATGAAATGCGCCATATATATATATATATTTTATATATATATATATATATATATTTAACTATATATATGTATGTATATATGTATATATATATATATATATATATATATATATATATATATATATATATTTGCAAAAAGTGTTATTTGGTCTTTTTTTCCTAGTGAACGGCATCTCATCAGCGCATTTTCTGCACTATTTGAGACACAAATACTTGTGAAGCCGCAAAAGACTTGGGGAGTTACAAGTGTGCTGCCTCGTATATAGCCATGATATAAACTAACTTAGTTCTGTACTCATTCTGCACCCCTTTTGCTGAACTTTCCATTTCTGTGCCCACCATCTCAAGCACTCCCAGAATTACTCACAAAAGAACCCAGAGCCATTTCATGGGCAGGACTACACACTCTCCATGAGTGTTCATGTTCTGCGGCTTAGCAGCGGCCCCGCGTCCACATGTTGTCACCAAGTTCGTTCCACCCTAGTCAATTTCTTACAATCGTCGTCAAATCCATGAGATCCACTCAAAACAGCTGCCTTCTCAGCACTCGCTCTGGCGCTGCCCTCCGCTGTGGAGGCGGCCATCTCGTAGCCCAAAAACCAGCGCCGCAGGTGGGACATGCAAGGCCAGCTGACGCCCGCGCCGTTGGGCACGGCCTTGATCGGTCAAAGTGCCTTATGAAGGCCCGCGCCGGCCTCATGTCGAAAAGGATCCCGATCTTTCAAATTTCTGCCAGCCTTCGGAAGGCCATGGATTCTCTCCGTGGGCCTTTAAGGTTCTCTAACAATGCATCCTTCTCGGACGCTGGGCCTCAGTGGAGCGTTGGGAGGTGCAACAACCTGGGATCCCCAACGATGGGGCTGTGGTGATGCGGGAAGGGGGTCCGAAATAGGGTGCACGCCCTTCCTGGCCGTCATCCCTTACACTTCGCAGCTAGTTTGCCTAGCCCGTTCGTGGGCTCACTCTTCGAGTGGGGTGCATGACTTTCTCAGCCAACGCACCCTTCCCGCAGTACATCAAGCAACTGGGTGTCCCGTTTGGTGTTGTGCGCCGGCGCCTCAAATACCCCATCGCGAGAAAGTGAAAGGTCACCCCAACATAACACCCAAACGCCCGCAGCCACACATGCCAAATCAGCCACAGCAACGCCCGCTGTGCCCCCAAAAAACGCTCAGGTCTGACCCTTTCAAACGGTCTACCTGACCACTTCAAGCAACAATCTAGGGCGCCTCACAACTACACGACTTAAAGTACATCGGCATGTAGTAACTGGCACATAATTCGGCTGTGCGGTCAGGGTCATTTAACACCTTACAAACGTGTGGTCTGCGCCTCCCGTGCAAGTCCTGATGCCACAACATTCGTGGAGGGCATAAAATCGTTGTCCAGTGCATTGAAAATAAAGGAATGTTGTAGTGGGACAAGCACACAGCCACATGTCCAAAACTTAATATATGCAGCTAGAGTTCAAAAGGACAAGCCCAGCCCTTTGCCAACAGCCAAACCATAACAAATACCCATAAGTAAACTCAAGGAAATGCCCAGGAATGCGTTCCAACACGCGCCCACATAGCATCAGGCAGCCCCTTCCAAGAGAACATCAACGACCGCCCCTTTTTCAAGTCAGTGAAATTCCATAGTATTACCTGAACACAAAATGCGCCCTTGCACCTGCGCAAAACCCTCACAGCACGTTGCCACACCTCTCTTTTGTCCCACGCCACCAGGAGAGGTGGACATGACTCATGGGCTGTAAAAAGCACATTGGCAGCTGCGCAAACATAGAAAAGAAAGTGGTTTCACACAAACAAACACTTCAAAACAAAACAACCCTTTTCAGTGGTCTGACATACAGCCAACCCTCCCCATTCAAAACCAATGGACGAGTTGTCGGCCCTTCCACAGGACCATGCACAATTCGGTGCACTTGTCTTTCCTAAACAACCATCACACTCTCCCGCTTTCCTTTTTCCCACTAGGCCAGCTCTTATTAAAATTTCCCTTATTAATTAAGCACTTTGACCCAGATCGGTGTGGCTTGCACAGCCAACCTTGGGTGAAGTGTAGAACACACAATCAGCACACAGGCTGAGGGGAGTTAACCTGCTTCTGACTCTCACTCCCTCACCCTTGTGATGTGCTGAACTTGTCATGGCCATCCTGAATTATGACTTTAGTGCATGCAAGTGCTCACAGTGAGAGTGCTAAAAGCTGCCTTGCATGACGCAAGAATCAACACCGTGTCTAGGCTCTGAGATCCCACAGAGCCAGTATACATGCCATGTCAGCCCTGTGTGTATAAGTACATTTCAAGGTCCCACTTTTAACATAACCTCACACATCACATGAAACCCCATTTTCATATAGATTATTGGACTAGTTGTCTCTCCTCGTCAGGTCAGACAGCCCAGATGGTCTTTCTCAGAACAGGGAATAGTTGATCAGACCATCCCAATCTACCCACACAGCCTGCGCCCTTGAGGCTCAGGACCTCCCAGAATTTTCACTGAATCCAATCAGTCTTGGGCGCTGAATGGTGACATGAATCTGGTGAGAACACAGGGTGGCATCTCACATGCAGCCCTTGTTTCCCTAAACTTACACAGCCCTCATTCCCACTCCTAAGTTTCGCGGCTGTCTGTTCATATACCGTTTTCGGAGTGTTTTCTCTTTGTTTTATTTTTCTTTTCTGTATCATCAACGGTGGCATACTCGGGCCATCCCATGCAGCGTGCAGAGCGCGTATGGTAGATGCCCATCGTACACCAATTACATAAGTGATCACCTAGTAAAAAGGTGGCCATTATGTGGCGTCACCAACATCAGGCAAATTGGAATTTTGACGGCTACTTCCTTGCCTTGTTATGCAAGTTTCAGTGAACTTCGGTGTGTGGACTTTGCTTAATAAATATTGCGTAAAGCTTGATTGTGGCGCCACCAAGCTGCACCAACTGGTTCTGAAGGGGATGCAATGGAAGAGTCACAGTTTGCGAAGTTTAAAGCCACTATGTGGGTGTTTTTAGACGCGTGTGTCCACTGCACACAGGTCGCGCAGTGCAAACTGACTAGTTTGGCTTCACAGCCAACGCTCTGAGATCCCAGAAGTCCGATTTTCGGCGTGGCATACCCACGGCCTTGTCATCGTTCGAGCTGCACGGGTACACGAGTGAATGTCTGTGAATCGGTGCGCTTTCCGCAGGTGTACCTGTTCGCATCCTATAGGCTTGCGTGCGCCTGAATGTCCAAGACCCATGAGCAGCTTCAGCCCGGGCTCCTGTGGCTGAATCGCCTGCGACACGCTCGCAGCACGGCGGGATATCCATAATTTGCTCTTCTTCCTTTCGTTCTTCTGCCGCTCTGGGCAGGGCACAGGCGAATTTGTTGAGCATCGCTTCCCAAGATGTTCTGGGGTTTGACCGTTGTCATGTTCACATGAAAAGAAAAAACGTTGCTTTGGTGCTGTGCTACTCTGGGTAAACTTTTACATGATTTGGGGCATGGCCGAATGCTCTGGAGTCGCAGCTTGTGTCGTTCGTGGTCCTCTAGCCAACTGCATGGGCTCAATTCCTGCTGGCACTTTTGGTGCCTCACTTTCTAGGCGCTTTCCATTAACAAAAATCTCACAACTTGAGAGTCTCACAATGTGAGGATCAAATGTCATTCGGTCCCGTCGATGACGCCGTCACTGGGAGATACGAACTGGATATTCATTCGCAACGCCTTGGATATGACAGGGTGACGTGCGCTGTGACAAAGTTTCAACTTCTTGTCATATGCCAAATGTCATCAAAACGACGATGTTGTTTGTTGAACTGGGTGCACACCCTGTATCCGCATGCGTCTGAGCAGACGAGGCTTCACACAGTGCAATCTGGACCTTTTGTGGGCAGGTTGTCGCGGCCCCAGTTGGGGTGGTTCTGTATGTACAGCGGCAGCAAATGGCATGCACAGGCCATCCGCTGGGTCGCGCTTCTCCCAAGACCTGGAACATCCGCGGTGTGCCACAGGTACTACAGGTGTTGCACAAGTGCTGCTGCTGGTGGACACCACAGGCTGGTGTACCACCATGTCCATGGGTAAAAGCCAAAGATGACAGAATGCTTGCGACCTGGCCACCAGTGGCAAAACGACTTGGTAAAACATAAGTAAGCCAGATCTCCACACAACAGTTCCGACACAAAAACAGAGCAGATGTTCACGAGCCCCAACAAACCACCACAAATCGTTTAAAACCGCACAAAAGAACTACCCAAGGGCAGCAGTTCATCAAATTCCCAGGCGCTTCAGTTTGACCAAGCACCACCGCATCATCAACAATCAACCACCCATCCCAGCACAGCAACCTGGGCCGTGGTGCTGGGCCGCGCCAGCGGCGCAGCCACGGCAACAAATTCCCAGGGTGCCGCGTGGCGATGAGCATATTCCCAGGTTCTCCAAGATTGACCGGCCTAAAAAGGCTCAAACGCAGTGGCATGGCACCCTCGTGCCCATCCACATTCCAAGACCACGCAAAATCACCAACCGCTGCGTGGTTCTCCACACTCCGGACATGCGAATTGGAATGCCATGCTAGCTGTCCAGACATGAATGGGGTTATTTGCCCAACAATGCAGTCCATTGATGGGCAGGTTCGTAGGCTTTTTTTTGAAAGGCCGATTCGCAGTCACCCAGACGCCGGCACACACAACCCATTGAACCACTGGCGAACGCAGGCCCCATAACTGAGCACACCCTGCACTCAGAACTGCCATCACCACTGAGCTCCAGCTGAGAGGCTGTCACCGTATGCCCTCAGACCTGCCATAAATAACGTACTCACAAGGTGCATCCATTTGCACTGTGGTAGACTCCTTCCAAACTCCCCCCAGCAGCTCTGCTGCACCTCCAAGGCAGAACACAAGGCTTGTGGCAGGCCGGGGCCACGGCAATAGTTTATTCAGATCAGGACACCTCTCTGCTGCTGCTGCTGCCGATGTCCCCAGCCAAAAACAAAAACTCAATCGGTTCTGTGTGCATCCTGCTGACCCTGAATTGCAGAGCGGGATTCAGCTACATCGGTCTGCACGCAAACCACCAGGGCCATACACCTATGCCCTCGCAATATGTCTACAACCTGTACACCAACCAATGCGCGTACACTGCAACCCGTGCATGCCCTTCACAGAATGTGCAGTGAGCTCCCCTAGGATAAGGTGTTTGCAGCTACCTTGCACCAACCGGACCAGTGCATCAGTCATACTCGCCATAATCGTTGGCATACAGAGGTGGCTGCACAGCGCCTTGTGGTGGGAAGAATTCAGTTTGCGGCATGTAGTCAGCCTGCGGCGGCACGTAATCAGCCTGCGGTGGCACGTAGTCAGCCTGCGGCAGCACGTAGTCAGCCTGCGGTGGCACATAGCCTGCTTGCGGCAGGTGCTCTGCTGGCGGCTGCACATAGTCCGTCTGGGGAAAGTACTCCATTGGTGGCTGCACATAATCTGTCTGTGGCAGGTAGTTTGTCGGTGGCTGAACAACCACTGGCTCCTGCAGGAAATTCACATCTGGAGGCTGTGTGTATCCTTCAGCCACTGCCTCTTGTTGCGAAAAGACTTGGAGCGGTGCCGGCGCTGCTGCGAATCCTTGTTCTGCTGGGTAATCTGGGACAACCGACTGCCCAAAGAAATCTGGCTCGTCATCGGGCTCAGGGGCTGGCGATGGCGTGAATGGCTCTGGCAGATCTGCAGGCACCACAGAACTTTTGTCAATGGAAGGGCCTCACCGTCGGAAAATGACCTAAACACATGTTCACAGCCAAATAACCAAGCCACCCCAATATTGTGGCAGTGCAACAATACAAGGTCACTGACAGTTCAGCATGCTTCAATGTAGAGTGAGAAACGGGCCAATTCTGTCGCTGGGGCCTGTTCAGCAAATGGGCAACCATGCAGGCATCAATGACGCAGGAGGCAACGTACCGGGAGGCAGCACAGGAAGAGGCTCGGGGATGGGTGCTGGCATCACTTCGGGAATAGGTGCAGGCACTGGCTCCAGATCAGGAACAGGTGCTGGCACTGGCTCCGGGTCGGGAACAGCCACTGGCACTGGCTCCGGGTCGGGAACAGCCACTGGCACTGGCTCAGGGGCAGGGGCAGGCACAGGCTCAGGGGCGGGAACCGGTTCAGGCTCAGGGGCAGGAACCGGTTCAGGCTCAGGGGCTGGCACAGGCTCAGGGGCTGGCACAGGCTCAGGGGTAGGAGCTGGCACAGGCTCAGGGGTAGGAGCTGGCACAGGCGCAGGGGCAGGGGCTGGGGTGGTCTCGGCAGCCGACGAGGCAGCTGGGTTGGGGGATGGGGCAGTAGGTTGGGGCTTTTGCTGCTGTGCCTGGCGGTTAGACCCGCCAGGCGAACCTTGCTGTCTCTTGCCACCATTTCCCCTGCCATTCTGCACTCCTTGGCGTCCACCAGACTTTCCACCTTGCGCTCGCTTTCTTGCACCTTGCCCAGACTTCTTGCTGCCTGTTGTACCCGTCCCAGGGCGTTTGGACTGGCCTTTTGCTTTGCCCTGCTTGCTCTTCTTTGTGCCTTGATTCTGGATGCACTCCAAATCGCCTTCTGCACATTTGGTTGCGGAGCCAGACCGCCTCTTCGTCCCTGCCTTTTTCCCTTTGGCTGCTGCAGGCTGGCCCGATGCTCTCTTGCCCTTCTTAGCACCTGGGCTGCCAGTTGCAGGAGTTGGTTCCTGCTCGGCCTCAGTGAATGCCTGCTTCCGCCGCTCCATTTTCAAAAGGCACTTGACATCGCCCACTGCACACTGGCCCCGTGGCACGGGCGCACTCTTCGCAGCTGGCTCTGGCTTCGCCTGTGCCTTGCTCGCCTGTTCCTCAGCCTTCCGCCGCTCCATTTTCAACAGACACTTGACATCGCCCACCGCACACTGGCCCCGTGGCACGGGCGCACTCTTCGCAGCTGGCTCAGGCTTCGCCTGTGCCTTGCTCGCCTGCTCCTGAGCCTTCATGGTCTCGCTGTGCGCTTCTTTGTCTCTCATCATGTTTAGTAAACACTTCACATCGCCTTCAGAACAACCTGCTGGCTCTGCTGCGTGGTTTGCGCCCGAACTGGGCTTTTTGTGATGTGTTCGGAGCAACGACCTCCCTGAAAGGAAAGGCAACGCATCAGCTACGACAGCGCACCACGAACTCGTGCCCATAAAGCCGTTGGGGTGTCGCCGGGTGAATTGGCTGTGGGATAGCACCGGACAAAGTGGACCAAGGGAAGACTTATTGCCGCCTTGTTACGAGCGGACACGACCACGATGGGAAACAGGGGGAACGGGAGCGCGGTGGCTTTAGCCTCAGCCCTGTTCTGAAGCGTCGCAGCAGTGGCTGAATCGGTACAGCCGTCCAAGCGGAAGTCACTTTTGCACAGCTCGCAATGTACGCAGGAATATCGGAACCACAACGTCGCGCTGGGCCCAAAAGTGGGGGCGGGCAGCTGCTGGGTGGGCCACATGGCCTCGCCGTGCCTCACAGCGCGCGGTTTTGAGACAACGCAGAACGTAAAACGCTAAACGCGAGACGCAAGACGGTCACAGCGGCAGAGCGTCCGCTGCCGTCCTTTCCGTCGGTCGCTGCCGGCCACCCCGCAAAGACAACACTGCACTTGCGCCCTCAGGAACGCAGCCGCTGACGATGATGTGGCACATGCAGGCCGCGCATTTTGATTGGCCGCCGCTGACGTAGACCAACAGCCAGCAACTTCGCGGTCGAGACGTTACAGCCATGCTGTGAGCGCATTCGGCGCCGAGAGCAAAGAAGCTATATCGGGAACTTCGTAGTCCTTGCGCTGACGTGTACAATTGGGAGTGCAACAGGTAGACTGGGAGAATAGTACGTGTTCTCCACACACCCAACTGTAAAATTGTGCACGGATCATAGCACAATCCAGTCCGCCAATGGGCCGTAAGAAACGCCGCTGCTTCACCATGTTGCTCATGCTGAGGCAGCTACGGACGCAGGGAGCATTGGCGGGAGCAAGACGACGAGCGTCCCCCTCGCCACGTCTTGACTTTGCAATGGGAAGGTGCGAACCATGTGCAGCGACAATTTTGGCCAGTTGTTCAAATATCAGGACGGACGTGTCGAAAAGCAGGTTCAGTTGTCCACATCGTATCTCCGCCACTCCACAGCGCAGTGTCTTTTCTTCAGGGACAGCTGGTCACCAACTGCTTTGCACCAAGTTACGGCCACACTGTAACCATGTACAGAGGGTTTACAAAATATACGGAGAGAAAGTGAACTGTTTACCTTCCATGTCAGCTTGTTGTTGTCGCATTGGAACTCGTTGCTGTTACCTTGGGAGAGTAGGGGAAGACAGGTTTGTGGCATGTCTGTTTTTAGCAAATTTAGTTAAATAAATTGCTTGAAATGGCCAAGGAATGGGATAGGCAGGTCCACACGCGCTCGCTGATAATCTGACGGTTTAATTCTTGACTTGCTGGTCTAAACTTTTCATAACTGGCACCCACCACTTTGGCCAGATTCTTCCCGGTCAAATGTTGCGATGGCCGAATTGTCATCTCCATCCACAGTACCTAGGGGGCCACCTGCAAAAATATTATTAAGATTTCAGCTACCTACACATTTAAGGCACTGTGAAGCTCAGCGCTGTTCCATGTGTTTTTTGCATGCCCACTGCCAGCACAGCGCAGACGTCTTTTGGCCAAGCACCCCAACCGCCTCCTCACACACCCAATAATCGGCTTTCTGGACATGGGAACCGGACAACGTTCTTGACAATTGGGACAGCTAGCGGACATCTGCTCGTCAGTCGATGCATGTTGGGATACTCCTTGTCGCATTCTGGCCACAGTCTCCAACATCGCGGTCGCAACAATCGCGCAAGGATTGAATTTCGCGTGTCCGATATTGTCTAAGACAAAAGAACTGCTGCCACTGGCAACGCGATTGCGTCGCCTCCATCATGACGACGCACAGAAACGAGCGGTCCAACACGCACTGCATTCTGCGGTCGGTACCGGCGCCGATGTGGCCCACAATGCGTTGGAGGGACAATTTCGTGACAAAGGAGAGACTAACAAGTGACACGGCATCGCAAGCACTTGGAGACGAGCGTGGCCCGGCCAAGCGGCGTGGCCTCGGAACGCGCCCATCAGTGACTGCAATCAGCCCGTTGCTGACGTGAGTTGCGACCCATTTGTAGTCACTTTGCAACGAGGAACCAACGCCCGCCAAATCCCCGGCCGGTTGCTTTTCGCCTCCTGCTGACGTGACTGTTTGGCAGCAATTGCAACGCCCGAGGATTGTCACGGGCGGCGCAGGATCAAGCGCCCGCAGGCCACAAGCCCCCCGACACGCGACACCCCCACCGGTGACGCACTGAGAAACGAATGATACAGCCCCTGCTACTATTTCTTACGTGGCCGCTCGATGCATGACATGTGCGGGGGCAATCAGCGCCATGCGATGCAAAATGCATGTCCGCCAAACGTAGGATCATGGGACTCCGACAGCGCGGGCGGGGCGCAGGTTTTCCTGGGCGGCGCAGATGGGCGGGTGGCGGCCGCCCCGCTCGAGTGAGACGCCCAGGGCCAGCCCAGGACCAGCCCAGGACCAGCCCAGGACGCGGCTGAGCGGCACATCGGCGAACCGCACAACGCCGTGCAAAAGCAGCCCATGAATCGGGCACAGTGGTGGGGTGTGTGGGAGGAATGCTCGAGGGAAGGTTTCATTGGGGAGGCGTATCTTTCACAAACAGTGGGATGCCTTCCACCGGGAACGGCGAACGTGCACCAGGCTCGGCAGGCGTGGATTCGAGGGGGGAGAGGCCTGCTAAAAAAAATTGCGGCCGGCGACCGCGTCCGATGATGTCGAAACAAATGCTGCCGGCCTTCCGTGCGGCGGGCCGCCAATCCGAGGAGACGCTCCAAATACGCTCCCACGCGCCTTTACCCCCATCCCCACCAGGATCGCTTTGATTGACCAGGACAGACGCTTATGGAACGCGGCCCTTGCAGGCCGCCACGCAGTTTCTTCCAAGGATGCGTTGCAGCGCACAGCACGAGGTGCAATTCAAAAGAGTGCGCCCCAATTTGTGCTCGCCCGATGGGGCAAACCGGCTCGCGCCTGGCGTTGCCGACAGAAAGGGGCCGGTGGGGCGCTCCTCTGCGCGCACCTCTGATCCCTTGCGCCTCATCCAGACATAGCAGCAGGACGAGGAGGCAGCCCACGGCAGCTAGCTCGCGTGCCGTCATGGCGTTCGACGGCGCTCCTCAGGCGGCTGTGACGCTCATGCCTTCCCTCCTCTCCTTTCAGCTACTCTCGGCTGCCGCGCTGCAGCCTCCCGTCCACGCCACCCCCCTCCTCCACCGGGCGGCTGCAGCACCCCCCCTCCTAACCCACGATGTTGGTGGTGCCTGCCATTATGTGTCAGTGTCATGAACCAGCGAGGCCGGCCCCTGACCCAACGATGTGGGATCCCGTCGTCCGCGCTGACACAGCTTTTCAGAGAGTTCAATCGCGTGTGGAGCGCCCCCTGTACACGGGGGGCTGTACGCGTGAGGCGCCTGATTGATCGCCCGGGGGCCTCGGAACGCCGTTGTGGTGGTAGGGTGTAGGTGGGAACTTGGGGTGAAGTGGGGTGGGAACTTCGGGTGGAAGTGTGGGCAGTTGCGTTGCAGGGTTGGCCAATTTTGTCGACAAATTCGCAACCGGGGGTATTGTAAGGCCGAGTTGATGTACTTGAAGCGTCATCGATGGGAACCCCATGGAACACTGCACGCGCTTGGTTTAAGAATGGGCTTCTCACGATGCCTCTCAGTGCCCAACTTTTCTTGGGTGGACCGCTTATGGCACAAAGGTTGGCACTGGTCTCTCAATTTGTTCAATGTACTACCTGCACGTTATCGGCCCAGACGACGGCCAAAAACAAAAGAGAAGTTGTAACGAAAAAGTATCGTCCGTTGAAAACTACTGTGAATGAACACGTTTCTGATAGAGCTCATGAATCTTTTTGTCAGTTCTGGTTCTCCATGAGTTGGCTGTTCAGAACATCGCATGGCAGAACAGCCTGTTCTGTCGTACTTGCGCCCATTCTGGGGTAACAGGATGCTTTGGTGTGTTGTGTATTAGCCTCCAGTGTCGAACTGTAAAGCGCAAGGAAGTCCAGAGGCATGTGCTCTGGTCAGGAGTCTTGTCTGCAGATTATATTGGGGGAAGTTGTGAAAGCTCGCTTCACTTCGTATCCACGGTGCTCCATCACTTTCCGTTCGATTGAACGCTCCCTTGCATGCGGGCAGCCGTATGTGGCTGTGTCAAGGGGACGACTGGGACCGTTGAGGGGTGTTCTTGTTTGCAACGCAGACAAATTGAAAATAATCACTTGCACTTTCCGGAGCTTCGTGAACGCGCGTTTGCTTCTGAGGTCGATGTGTATTGCGCACTTACAACATAATAAAAAATAAAACAACGCACTGCATGTATGGTTGTTAGACGGCCTCAAATTTTAAAGAGAACAAGTACAACCCAAATGGCGTGACAATTGTCCATCGCAACCCAGGCCAGAAATTTGAAAAATGTTCGGCTCTCGCAGAACCCTTGCTAAAACGCCCCGCGATTGATGGCGCGAAGCACAGAGTGGATATTCGCAGCCGTTGCTTTAATTGTGGATTCCTTCTATTACCAGAAAGAGGCACGACTGCGCAACAGTTTCCATACCACTCGATCACTGATCAAGACTTTGGATTTGAAGGGGAAACGAAATATTCACATTCGAATGGGGAGTGTAAATCGGCTGAGTTTGCTGTCGCGGTGTTTGAGATCGCAGCGCCGTAATGGACAAATGTTCTCAGGTGAGTAGATAACATAGAGAAGTTCAGAAGAGGTTGTTGTTGTCTCTGCGCGCCAGAAGCAAGATATTGCCAGAAAATGGCTGCGCCGGGCTCCGCCTAAAGGAGCAGCAAGGGATAGGTAACTATTGACATCGTGGGAGTTGTGTGGGGTGTCTGTGCTTGAAACATTGTCTATGAGTAGTACGCCAATACTCCATTGCAGGCGTTGGGGTGAGGGGCGGAAATGGGTGGTGCCACCATTCGCCCATGCACCTGTTTGGCTTTTCTCAACTGGTCTCTGTTCCTT